TCTCACTGAATTGCTTGGGTCCTTGCTAAGTTGCTGAGGCTGACGTTGAATTTGTGATACTCCAGGCTCCCAAGCTGCTGGAATTTTGGGCATGCACCACTTCGCCCAGCTCAAATTGCTTAGTTTTTGTTTTGTTTTGTTTGGTACTGGAAATTGAACTCAGGGGCACTTGACAAGAGAGCCACATCGCCACCCCTACTTTGTATTTTCTTTAGAGACAGGGCCTCACTGAACTTAGCGCCTCGCTTTTGCTGAGGCTACTTTTGAGCTTGTGATTCTCCTGCCTCAGCTTCCCAAGCCACTGGGATTATAGGCGTGTGCCACTGTGCGTGGCTCAAACACTTAGTTTTTAAGAACCTGCATATTTAAGACAATTCTATTCCTAAAAGACGACTTTTGATAGTATCTGCTTACTTAGGTTATGTTGAACTTCCTTGAAACAATAAGGAATGAACATTGTAGTTGCTTCATGTTTTTCCTATGACTGCTTCCTTGTAATTGTGAGTAGATTACAAAAATATATTATTATATATCTCTACGTTCATATAATACTAATATACCTCTAGTTCAGCTACTTGGGAGGCTAAGACAAGATAACTTGAGCCCAGGAGTTCAGGAGCAGCCTAGACAACATAGAAAGATCCTGTCTCTTAAAAATAAATATTAAGAAAATAAAATCAGATTATGAAAGAATGTCAAATGTTAAACTTTTATTCACTGGCCTATAAATAATATGCCTAAAATTTTTCACAAATTTGTTGTAATGCCTTGATCCAAAATGTTTTGACACCCCTTTATGTTTTTGTGTGAGAAACTTAGAATTTGTGTTCAGCTGAAATAGTAAAATAACTGCAACAGTTATATTCTGTCAATTCTGTGAACCATTGTTTTATGAAAAATAGTTTACTAGAAAGGGTTTACTAGATAAAGCATTTAATATTGCTTTGTGTCTACCTTCTAAGGTTATTTCCTAAGATCCATTGCTACATTTAATTGATGTTAAATGTTCTCTTTTCTCGCCAATGACCCACACACAAAGATGAACTTGGTTTAAAAGAGCTGGCTGCAATATTAAGCTAAGAAAGCCAAGAAAAGACACACAGAGTAGTTTTCAAAAGTTTTCCAGTTGAGGGAGAGAGAGCTCTGCGACCTTAAGGGTCAGCTTCCACACTGGACAGAACCCTGGAAAAGAGACAGTGAGCCCCAAGTTTTCTTTATTTTATAGCAGAGACATCAGAGGGGGATAAAGTTTCAAGGGTAGAGTCTTGTTTAGTGATGTCTCCTGGTCAGCAGATTGATTGACATCATGGTGAGTCACATCCATCTCAGGTGGTGTGTGGGATTTTAGGCGGAGCTGAGGCGGAGCCGCACCTGTATCATGTATTCAGTCCCTGACAGGGAGTTTGCAGAGCCAAGCCTATCCCTTCAAGAGGCTACTATGTGTAACACAATCCACACACAGCCTACGGACAGCTGGTGACACTGGTTTTGTTAGAAGTGTAAATTCTTGAGTTCTGAGACTCTCGATCTAATTTTTCTGGTCCATTGGTTCTCACGTTTTAGGGTACATCATATCACCTTGAAGTCTTTTTAAGGTACAGATTGCCTCCATTTCCCTTCCTCTACCATTCCCCCAGGTACTCATTCTATAGGTCTGGGGTCCAACCCAAGAATTTATATTTCTAACAAGTTCTGTGGTTAACGCTGATGCCCTTGGTCAGAGGACCACATTTTGTGAACCACTGATCTATTCTTTACAAACTTAAAGTAGGATACTTATGTGCAAAAGGAAGGAGTGAAGGATATATAAATCTGCATAGATATCCCATACATGTGCTGTTTCCCAGATATTCCCAGGTTTATGTGTCCCTTTCCCCTTCTTCACATACCATCATACTCTAGAGGCAGCAACATGCAGTCTATATAATAGACTGTACTAGGAAAATATAAAATTTTAAATTTTTTGTTCTTTTGTATTACATCTACAGTTAAAGAAGAAATCATGTGAACAACATATAGCATGTTTATTTTATTAATATTTATTTTTTACTTTTAAGTGGACACAACATCTTTATTTTACATTTATGTGGTGCTGAGGATCAAACTCAGTGCCTCAAACATGCTAGGCAAGCACTCTACCACTGAGCCACAACCCCAGCCCCAGCATATTTATTTTTTAATTTACATTACCATGTATTCAAAGGAGCAGAGTATCTTATTAGGAGAGACATAGCATTTAATAGAACACTTTGAGTATACAGAATAATGATTATGCCTTTTTTTTTTCTCTTTCCCTTTCTGGTACTGGGAACTGAACCCAGATGTGCATACCCTTAACCCTTTTTCATTTTCATTTTGAAAAAGGATCTCACTAAATTGCTGAGGTCTTGAACTTCCAATCCTCCTGCCTCAGTCTCCTGAGGAGCTGGGATTATAGGTGTGCACCACCATACCCAGTTGATACTTTACTTTTTGTAGTTGTTTTTTTTTTTAAAGAGAGAGTGAGAGAGAGAGAGAATTTTAATATTTATTTTTAGTTTTCAGCGGACACAACATCTTTGTATGTGGTGCTGAGGATCGAACCCGGGCCGCACGCATGACAGGCGAGCGCGCCACCGCTTGAGCCACATCCCCAGCCCTCCTTTTTGTAGTTTTGAATTGGGCATAGTGCTAAGAGGTTGGATATTTAGTGATAATATTTTGCTTTTACAGACTTCATTTCCCACCCTGGAGATCTCAAGCTTATTAATGTGTGTTGTTTACAGTCCAACTCCAAGTGTCTCCTAGGTCGTAATCTTTGATATTCTAGCTATTTTTGCAAGATGTTAGTTATATCATCTGTCCTTGATTATTTAGCTTTTAAAATACATGACAATTTTATTTATTCGTACTTAATTATAGGTGTACTCAGGGCTGGGTGAGGTGGCACCACCTATAATCCCAGTGACTTGGGAGACTGAGGCAGGAGAATAGCAAGATAATTTTCTAAAGAATTTATTTTCAGGCTGGGGATGTAGCTCAGTGGGAGAGCACTTTGCCTAGGATACATGAGACCCTGGGTTTGAGCCTCAGTACCACAAAAAAAAAAGAAGAAGAAGAAGAACTTAATTGTCAGTACTCTCATTTCTGTAATCTGTTGCACTGATAGTTGCTAAATGATCCTACTTTTGGTCACCAAGTATTATTGCTTCTTTTAAGAATCCTTATCTTCAAGCCATGGGTGATAGCTCATGCTTGTGATCCTAGCTATTGGGAGGACAAGACTAGCAAATTTGAGGCCAGCCTGGACAATTTAGCCAGAGAAAAGAAAAAAAAGGGATGGGTATGTAGCTCAGTGGTACATATCCCTAATAAGGGGTGAGGAGAGAATACTTTCCTTCAGTTTCTTTTTTTATTCCCATTGCCCCAGCATCGTCTTCTACTTGTATTATAATTTCAGTGGCTATATCTTCTCACTACCATTCCGGAGTTCAGTTGAATTTTTTCAGATTCTTCTTCTTTTTTCAGATTTTTCTTCTTCTTTTTCAGATTCTTCTTCCCTTGTTGTTTCAAATTTCTAGCCTGGTATATAAGTTTCCTCATGATCTAGCCCCACCATGCTTAACAATTAATTCATTAGATTTATTGAGTTCAACAATATATCAGGCATTGTACTCAGCCCTGGAAATATGGTATATGTGACAGCATACTGTGTACCCTCCAAGAGCTTTCCATTTATGTGGAAGGTATTTTATTAAAGTTATTAGAAAATATTTATTATGTAATTAATCTTTAAATATCTGAGATGGGGTACTGCATTCTATTCATTGTTTCTCCTTCCCATCTGCTTCCCCTTCACTAGTTTCTCTACTTTGAATTTTAATGAACTATCTGGACCTTCTTATGGCTCCTTTATTTTGTACTGTTAATCTCTTGTTTGTGTGTTATCACTCTCCTTTTTTTCCTAATTAATTTTGATATTCCTTTAAGAACCAATTTAGATATATCTGCAGGCAGAATTAGTTGTCCCATCTTTTGTTTTGATATACATCTCAATAAGTGAATTATTTGTTTCTGTTTTCTTTATTGTAGAGCAAGAGCTCTTTAAGGACAGAGATATCTTTGTGTCTCATTGCCTAGAAAAGTGCCTGATATTTACAGGGTGTCAGTAATGTTCATTTCATGAAATCAAGAGGAATTTTTGCAATCCTAAAAGCAGGGATTGAATTTAAATTGGCTTCAGTGGCATGTGTATTTGTTGATTTTTACAGTACTTTTTACTCGATATATGTATTTGCTTTTTTACATAGCCTTACTAGACAAGCTTAGATTATGAACACCTTTGTGGCAAAAATGGTAGCTGTGTTTAAAAGTACTCATTGTGGATACTTAATGGCAGTGGTTAGGAAGCAGTTTTCTGCATGTTGTATCTTAAACACAAAAGAGACACATTCCAGGATTCTGAATATCTCCTTGAAAAAGTAAATGCAAGCCAGGTGTGGTCATTTTAAAGTAATCACTCTGCAATAATGTGACCTTGAGCAGTAACCTTTTGTAATTCCTTATCTTGAAAGTGAAGAATGGCATGAAGACTTAAAAACACTAATACATGAAAAACACTTATAGCAGTATCTGGCACATAATATTCTTCTATTATTTATTTTTCCCACTTTTATTTTTCAAGTTTTACATTACATTTTTCCACATTTCTTATTAGTACATTATAGTTGTAAATAATTATGGAACTTGTTATATATTTGTGCTAGGTGAGCGCTCTACCACGAGCCATCATCCCAGCCCCCAGCACTTTTTTCTGTTAGTTCTTTATCTCAAAAGATGGAATTAAATGCCTCAAAACTTTTTTGAATCCCAAAGCATCTCTGAAAATACTATTTAGGCTTACAATGTCCACTATAATTTTTTTAAGTCTCTTGGGAGGATTATCTCTGAACTATTGAGTTGAATATAGTATAAAATGTTAAGTAAACTTGACACTGTTGACAGTGATTTTGTTTTTGCAGATGTTCTCAAATAGTGATGAAGCTGTAATCAATAAAAAACTTCCCAAAGAACTCCTATTACGGTAAGTCTGAATGCTAATTTTGAGTGGTTCGTTTTTTGTTTTGAGTATATATTATTTGTGTATTTAAATTGTTTTTTAGATTTGTTGTCAGTTTTCATTTATGTAAAGTCTTACCTGGTTTGTTTCAATCCCTCTACTGGGGATTGACCGAGGGCCTCATACATTGTAGACAAGTACTCTATACTGAGCTACATCTGCACCCCTTTTTATTTTGGGACACTCTTATTACATTGCCATGGCTGCCCTTGAACTTGCGATTTCTTTCCTCAGCCTCCTTAGGAGCTAGGATTATCCACCATGCCTGGCTTGATTTTTTTGTTGTTGTTGTTTTGTTATTGTTTTTGTGCCAGGAATTGAACCCAAGGACACTTAACAACTGAGCCACAATCCCAGCCCTTTTTATTTTTTATTCTGAGACAGTGTCTTCTTGGGTTACTTAGGGCCTCACTGAGTTAGTGAGGCTCACCTGGAACTATCTTATTCCACATTTTTTAGGTGTGAGTCAAGATATTTGAAAGTTTAATTTAGTAGCAGTTTTTCGAACTTACATCTATATTTGATTTTGTTTATTAATTTTACCTTTGCCCTATTCTTGTATATAGGTGGTATTGAGATAGGGTCTTGCTAAGTTGCTTAGAGTCCCATTGAAATGCTGAGGCTGACCTCAAACTTGGGATCCTCCTGCCACCAAGTGGATGGGATTATAGGCATGTGCCCACCATGTCCAGCTTACACATGGAGTGGAGCAATAAAAAAATTATTAAAGAAATTTAGCCAAGAGATAAGGGTACTAGAGAGAATATTTTCTGTAATTCTTTAGAGTACAGCACTGCCTACCTCTCCTACCTCTGCCCTTTCTAGCTTTGGTTACTGTTTTTGACACCAGTATAGTACCTTTTGATGAGCTATAAGGTCTTTTCTTAACAGAGAGATGAATCAGATGAAGATAAATTCCTAAATCATCCTGCTTTTTTACCAACAACTCCTCAAATTCCAGTGGCTTTTTTTCTAAGGCTGAGGGCAAGTGCACAAAAGACAAAGTCAGAGCATACAAGTGCTTAGAGCCAAACATTATGGCAAGTATCAGTCCATAGCCTCAGCTCTTGGGAAGCTGAGGTGGAAGGATCTCTTGAGCCCCAGGGTTCAAAACCAGGAAAAAAAAAACAACAGGGGGTCAGGGGAAGAAGGAAGGAATTTAGGATTGTGCAAAGGGGAGTGGGGAAAGGGGTGGGACTGTGGGGATAGGAAGGACAGTAGAATGAGACAGAAATTGTTACCCTATATACATGTATGATTACACTACCAGTAAGACTCTGCACTGTGTACAGCCAGAGGAATGAGAAGTTGTGCTCCATTTGTGTACAGTGTGTCAAAATGCATTCTACTGTCATGTGTAACTAATTAGAACAAATTTTTGAAAAAAGATAATAAATAAACAAAAACAAAAAACCCACCTCTGCTTAGATGTGTGGAATATAGCTCACATTCACTTATGTTCCATTGCCACATGTCCAAGCCTAACATTTATAGAGTGGAAGAGTATATAGGTGAATGAATCTGTGAATATATATGAATTTATCATGTATATACAGACATATATGAACTTTCTAATTCTACCTGTTCTCCTCACTCTTAGGCACTGGGCAGAGTGAAGAGTAACATAACTATATCCTAGTACTGCTACTGCCTCTCAGGTTAGGACACTACCAGCCATGCCAGGGTTTGGGAGTGAGAAAAGTTAGAAATATCTGTCCTTTCTTAGTAGTCTTGAGTTGAGTGGTTGGGAAAAAGGAAATGGAAGAAAGAAGGCATGTGTTTGACTTCTCACATTGGAACACTAGAGGTATTTTATCCTTAGTAACATTTTTGTCAATGAGAATTTGGTTCTAATGTATATATATTATATTGGTACTGACCAATGTGTGCATTATGGGTTAAATTAGCTCCTTTCTAAGCTAAGCAGGAAACTTCACTACTGTTAGGATTTCTAGGGGAAATTAGTTGAGTTCCAAACAATCAATTCTGAACTTAAAGTTGAAAACAAGTTCCTTCCTAAATTGGAGATCAGATGAAAAAGGGAAACTGACATAAAACATACTACTTATTAGTGCATTTAGATATATAAAACAATTAGTTTAATCATTGTTTAAATCACTGAAGACAAAGAGGAAAGAGGCTTTTTTTTTTTTTTTGCGCTATTGGGTATTGAACCCAGGGACATTCCACTACTGAGCTATATCCCCAGCCCTTTTTATTTTTTATTTTGAGACTTGCTAACTTTTTTTTGCTAATTGCTAAGGCTGACATCAAACTTGGGATCCTCAGCCTCTCAAGCTGCTGGGATTATAGGTGTGCTCCACCATGCCTCGCTGGAAAGAGGCTTTGATATATTTGACATTAAACTGGACAGATAGGGCTGGGGATGTGGCTCAAGCGGTAGCGCGCTCAACCGGCATGTGTGCGGCCCAGGTTCAATTCTCAGCACCACATACAAAGATGTTGTGTCCGCCAAATACTAAAAAATAAATATTAAAATTCTCTCTCTCTCTCCCTCTCTCTTTAAAAAAAAAACTGGACAGATAACTATTGGTCAGTGGTTAAATATTAATAAATTTAGTTTGGGGCATTTGTAATTTTAAGAAATTCATCTATTTATGTTTGTTTGTTTTTGGTACTGGGAGTTGAACCCAGGGGCACTTAACCATTGAACCACATTCCAGCTCTTTTTATTTATTTTTTAAATGTTGAGACAAGGTTTTGTAAGTTGCTTAGAGACTAGCTTAGTTGCTGATGCTGGATTTATTTTTTTTATTTATTTTTTTTTTAGAGAGAGAGAATTTTAATATTTTATTTTTTTAGTTTTCGGCGGACACAACATCTTTGTTTGTATGTGGTGCTGAGGATTGAACCCGGGCCGCATGCATGCCAGGCAAGCGCGCTACCACTTGAGCCACATCCCCAGCCCTGATGCTGGATTTAAACTTGGCAATCCTCCTGTCTCAGCTTCCTGAGTCACTGGGATTGCAGGCATATGCCACCACACCCCAGATGTTTCTTAGTTTTCTATATTTCTATATTTATTTCACAAAGGCTTTAATTACAGAAAATAAATATTTTTAAGTACTGGGGATTGAACCCAGAGGCACTTCACTACTGAGCCAAATCCCCAGCCTATTTTTATTTTTTTTATTTTGAGACAGTCTTGCTAAGTTACTATGAGATTCACTAAGTTACTGAAGCTGACCTCAAACTTCAGATCCTCCTTCCGCAGCTTTCTGAGTTCCTGGGATTACTTATCTTTTCCAATATTTAATTTTTTTATTCCTTACTTTATAATCTCCAAGGTAATGTTGAATGGAGATGATTCTATAGGTCAGTCCTATCTTGTTCCTAATCTTAATGGAAATCTTTTTTTTTAATGCTACCCTTAAATATACAGGATTTTGAAAAAAAAAAAAACCTTTATTGTATTATAGTATCACTTTATAATCCTTTTCACTTAATGTATCATGGACTTCTATATATGGAAGTAAATATAACTTGACCAAATCATTTATTGTGGCTGTGCAGTACTCCATAGTAGAAGCATACTAATTGTTTTAAAATAATTTACCTTCTGTTAGGTGCTAAGTGTTTTCCCCACCAATTTACTAACATGACACACCTTAAGTGATTTTTCTTCTTGCAAATCTTTGAAACCATCCATATTTGTCTTATTAGCATAATATCCTGTCATGAATTATTAAAACAAAGAATATAATTTTCTTTAACATTTTTAAACTTACAGAAAAGTTGCAAGTCCAGTACAAAAGCCTTTTTCATTTGCAAGTAAATTTCTGACAGGATCTCCCATCAATTGCCCTGCTTCCTATAAATAAGAAAAATATCTGGAAACACCTTTCTTTGTTTTCTTTGGTACTGGGACTTGAACCCAGGGGGTCTTTTTCACTTAGTTACATCCTCAGGTCTTCCCCCCTTCAAAACAGGTGTTTAATATAAAAATTCTACAATTAGTTTATTATAGATTTTCATAAAAATTTTTAAATAATTTCTATCTGTACTCCAAAAAAAGGTGTTCTACCTTTTATAGTCTTCACTGGCAGTGCATTCTGATGGTAAAGAGAACATCTTACAAATATTCCAGATGATTTGATTAGAATGTATGAAGAGCCTGGTATGGTGGCGCACTGCTGTAATCCCAGCGGTGCAAGAGGCTGAGGCAGGAGGATCATGAGTTCAAATCTAGCCTCAACAATTTAGTGAGACCCTAAGCAACTTAGCAAGACCCTGTCTTTAAATCCAAAAAAAAAAAAAAAAAAAAATAGAAGATAGAGTAAAAACCAGAGTCCCTAGAGTAAATTATTAAAAAAGACTTGTTTGGTCAAGTTTAAGTTTTAATATGGTTATAAACAGTAAAATATACTTGCATTGAATTTTTCAAAGCAAAAATGGTTTTTCCATTTTTTCATTTTGTTTATCTTTCCCAAAACACTATTTTTTTTGGTGGGGGGGGCGGAGCCAGGGATTGAACGCAGGGGCACTTAACTACTGAGCCACATCCCAGCCCTATTTTGTATTTTATTTAGAGATAGGGTCTCACTGAGTTGCTTCCTCACCATTGCTGAGGCTGGCTTTGAACTTGTGATCCTCATTTCTCAGCCTCCCAAGCCACTGGGATTACAGGTGTGTGCCACCACACCTGATTCCCAAAACACTTTTTTTTTTTTTTAATATTTATTTTTTTAGTTGGAGGTAGAATCTCCTTACAGAATCCAAAGTGGTCCTAATTAAAGGCAGGTCTACTAAATACCTGAGTCCTTGTTTGAATCTCTTCATCACCTTACAACAGACGGCACAAAGGCTTTAATTACAGAAAAGAAATATATTTTTTTAGGTACTGGGGTTTAAACCCAGAGGCACTTTACCACTGAGCCACATCCCCAGCCTATTTTTATTTTTTTATCTCGAGACAGTCTTGCTTGCTAAGTTTCTGAGAGACA